CTCTTCCCCCTCACAGGCCCAAAATATCCAAAGCACCTCTGTCTGTGTGGGGCCAGCAGTGTCGATCAGGCAATTGCACCCAACAAGAGAGAGGCGCTAGGTGTGTTTGCCAATGTTGGCACTCAGCAAAAGACATTTAAACAACATGGAGAGCGTTCCATAGAAGTGAAAGGGCCATAGAAGTGAAAGGGGCTACTTGCATGAATTACACGTGCTAGAGCGTTTCCAGGCTCAGAGCCTGTGTCAGCAGAAGAGTAAAGCAGCAACTCATCACGTATTTTAGAACACAAAGTCTAAAGACTCATCCTCAGAGGTGGATACTTAATCTCAACACACCAGAGAATGCTCCAAATTAGCACCTGTTTGAGGTGGGTGAGGGACCTGAGTGGAATGATGCAGCTGTTCATTTGCAAACTGCACCTCAATTCACAGAGATCCTTGAACAGTCCAGGGATGGAAACACCTAGCGTATGTCCCATGGGGGAAAACATGCCTCAGCACCACCACCAGTAAACATTATCAACATGCCTCAAGTGCAACGCTAGTGCCAGAGACACAATTTCAGAATTACCATGATAATTAAACTAGGACTGAGAACCTGGGCACAGTAACAATGTTCCACTATCCTAGTAATAAAGTTATGAACAAGGACAAAAAAACTGTTAAGAGGAACATTAGGGTTCCAAAGTCAACCACTCAAAAGCAAGAAAGTGACAGAGTTAAGGTTGCTCCTTACCTATCCAACCTTAATTTGACCCTTAGGTATATACATTATGATAAAGTCTTAAATTACAGGATCATATACAATTTTTCCCACATTTCCTTATTTAACAGTTTTTGTTTGTACTTTTCTTTTAGCTTTTTTTTAAACCTTACACTGAAAAACAATTCCATCATACAGAACTGGTCGGCATGTTTCCGACTACCACCACCATCCCAGATTATCAGCAGGGTTGGGACTTTTAGCGTCACAGAACTCTGTCACTTGAGCAAGTGGGTTAATAGGTACCTTTAAAAGCTGTTATCTATGTGGCCCTGCCAGTAGATGGGCTAGACACACATTCTTCCAGTAGAATTCAGTCTGCTACATAGCAAAGGAATGTCAAGACACAGAAATAACAGGGATTCAATTCCAGGTTCTTTAGGGGGAGCACCAAAGAATTTGGTGGACAGGCTCTCAGATCCCTACTGAGCATATGCAAACAGATTTTCAGATACTCAGAACTTGGCAGAATTTAAGCACATTTTCATAAGAACAGTAAAAGGTACATTGCTGATACCATCAAATTTTAAGACCTTGTACCACTAGCATAGAGGTGCTAGGATTTCTCAGAAGAACAGTTATACAAATTTTTAAAAAACATTCTCTAAAAAAATTCTGCCTCAGGCAGATCAGGGCAATGGCAGGCAATTTTAACTAATGGTGGTATCACCCATGCCATGTGGATTAACTGCAGTTAAGTTTATATGTTTAAAGAGGACCTGCCTTTTAGGTCCTGATTCCATAGGCATAGCATTTCAGTCCATGGAATTTTTCTTGCAGGATACAGCCCCTGCCAGATCATTAATGTGTCCATGTTTACCTGCCTCTCCTACGGTTTACCCCCGAGGCATGGTAAGAGGATGTAAGCATCATTTTTATGACCATCGTACATCATATGATCCAAGTTCAGGCACAATACATCAAACAACTTCATTAAAAACGGACTCCTGCTCAGCCTGTCTTCCCCACTACTGCTCCAGTACAAAATCCAACTAAGAACCTCATGCATTTTGCTCTTCCTGCCCTTGTAACCTCCCCATATTTAATATTCCTCATCACATTACATGACTGATCTCCCCAATCTCATTGCACTGGACTGACTGTCGCCAGCCTAGATGTTCCATGTTGCACACAGGTGACCTTCCTTTTTTCACTTGCACACTTGCACACAGGAATATCAAAACTCCCTACACAGAGTGGCCTGGATGCATGGTACAATGCTTTGCATTTGTGCCTTATTAAACTTAATTGCTGAACTAAAATTTTTTTTTCAACTTAATCCCTGAACAGAGTATGATCATTACAGAAGACGCTTGTCTCCACCATGGACAATATCAACTTTTTATTAATTGCGTGGAGCAGTAATAATCTTAGCATTCAGTGCATTCATTACATCAATACTATGACTTAAAAATAGGCATGCTGATTCTCCAAGGCATATGGTTTTATATTATAATTTTCACAAAGTGATCATAAGTTTTGGGTATGCTGCAAATGGTGCTCAAAGTACACTTTTCAATCATTTTGCATTCTAGTAGAAATCAAAATTAAAAAATATTTAATTAAATCCCAGAGCAATCACCATTAAAGACAACAAAAACAGATGAAAAAGAAAGTTAATAAATAAGGCATAAAGCTTTTAGATCCTCCTATCAGAAAAGTTATGCTTTCTATTGTTATACAGGCATTCACACAAGGTCAAAATGTTCGTACAGTACAATTTAAAATCACTGGCTTCCTGAAGGGGTCAATCCTCCAGACTGATTTTTGTACACATTTGCATTATCTTGGAAAGGGCTGGAGGGAAACAGAGCTAACTGACATTTCAGGGCTCACTGAAGGCTTGGCTCCATTATGAGGTGTCTAGACGCCATGGTGATCAATTTAGCCAGTCTAATATAGACCAGTTAAATCAAACGCCGATCTCTGTCAACTCTTATATTTAACGAAACGAGATGAATAAGGAGAATCGACAGGAGAGTTTTTACTCACAACCGCCCGCAGTGTGAACCCTGTAAGTAGATCTAGATTTCATGAATTTGAGTTACGCTACTAGCAACTAAAATTGCATAACTTAGATCAACCTGTCCTTGTAGTGTAGGCCTGCTCCCAGAAACTAACACCGAAGCAAACGCCTGTGCCTGCCTCCAATGGAAGGTTCTTAGCTACAGAATTAGCCTGTGCAACTTGGCAATAATCCTCAGTGTGGCCTAGAGAGAATGTGCTACCAAGTTGGAGACATGGATTTTAACTCAGGTCTTTCACTGACAACAAGAACTGGAGACTATCACTGGGGGCAAACTCGTGGTGGTCAGGTAGCAGCAACACCAACTCGGCCTGGGAAAGAGCAGTCATAAGGCACACACACAGTGGATATGTGGGGCTCTGTTTGTGTTTTGAGCTCTTCAGATGAAAGATGCTGCATAGATACAAAGCATTTTGTGAAGGTGCAGTGTATTTAGATACTGGGAAACTAGAGAGAAGTGGTTCAGTGGTTACGGTGTTAGCATGGGACTTGGATTCAATTCCCCTACTCTGCCACGTTTCCTCTCTTCCTCATCTGCTAGAGCGTCTTTATGCTCAAAGGACTGGTGTGAGGAAGATAGTGAAATGTTTCAGATGCCGTTTAAATGGACACAAAAAGATGACCACCTTTTTCCAAAGCGCAACAATGAGGGGTCTTGACGCCAGGAAATCTACACACATACAGAAGTTAGAATCCCTAGAAGTTAGAAGTTAGAACTTCAGAGTTACAAACTGAGCAGTCAACCACACAACTCATTTGGATGCAGCAGCAGACACAATTATGCAACAGGAGAAACCAAAAATAGAAAATTCAGTACAGTACCACGTTCAATGTAAGCTACTAAAAGATTTGAAAAGGCAAGGAAACTTTCCACACTTGTTTCATTTAAATTAAGTTGGTTCAACATAGGGAATGGTTAACCAGTTATGGTGATGTTTACCAGTTACAGTTAACTGGCGGGAGCTGGAGCAGCCCCTGCCCACACCATGGGCAAAGGTGCTCCAGCTGGAACATGTAACATTTAACTGATCAAATGGGATTTTACATCCCTTAACACAGAATTTTTCCTCTGCATAGTGAAGTTTCACAACTGCATGAAATCAATGTTCAATTGTAATCTTCTGAAACTTTGTGCAGAATTATGAACATTTCAGAATTACGTACAACCTCCATTCTTGAGGTTTTCATAACTCTGAGGTTTACTGCAATGCTATTTAATCCAATTCCGGTAAAGGGAAAATATTAATTTACAAACTAGATTACTTTAAAGTAAGTTCAAAATTTCAAGTACCTTTCCCGTCAGGCACGGCTGTTTTATTTGTATATTCTCTCTCTCTCCATTTGTTGGGTAAAAATCTTATACAAACAGAAAGGAGAAATTAACTATACAATGGAAAGAAATTACAAACTAAGTCTACCTCAAGGATACAAATGGGGGAAAAAAAGGTTTTTTTGTTGTAGTTATTTCAACTATAGATTTTAAGGCTATGTCTACATTAGAGCCCTTACAGCAGCACAGATGTATTGATACAGCTGTGCCGCTGCAAGATCTCCCATGTAGCCACTCTATACCAATATGAGAGAGCTCTCCAATGGGCATAATTAAACCATCTCTAAAGAGCAGCTGTAGTTATGTCAGCAGGAGAGTATCTGCTGCAGACATAGCACTCTTCATACCAGCACTTCCGTGGTGAAACTGTCAATCGGGGGCAGGGTATTTTAATCACACCCTTAACTGACAAAAGTTTTACTGATAAAAGTGCTAACACAGACACTCTCACAAAGGTCCTGAACACTCAGAATGAAATGAGAATTTGAGCTAATAATGCCCCTTTTATAAGCCCTTTATTAAACACCCACTAGATAAATTCTATACTTCGTCACTATAAAAGTCTCTCAAATTCTTATGATTTGGATTGTTGATCTAGATTTTACAGGAGCCAATACAGAGGGACGCCAGCCCTCCAGGACTGTCTTGTAGTCTAAAGGAACTAAAGTTTTAATTGATCTTTAATTAAAAGATGGGTCATATAATAAAATCTCCAGGAATAAATCCAACCAAAATTGGCAACCCTAGCATGGATAACTTGCTTCACTAGTGGTTTTGCAGTAACATCTATAGGTCCCAACTGAGATCAAGGCCTCAGAATACAAAACAAACAGAATCCTTGCCCTTTCCTCCCCT